AATGTGCTAACCAGTCATAGATATCAATGTCAAATTCAGTCTACATGCTGCTTTTTTCTCTTTTCCTTTGACTTGCCCCCATTCTGTTTAATAATATGTAATGAAAGACATCTTTAAGAAGTATTCTGTTTCATCTCATAGTTTTGCAAAAAAACATTCCCAATTTGTTTGCAGTGATTCTTGACAGTATTTACTAAATGGTAGTAACATCCAGAGCCATCTTTAAAAAAACATATTTCAAATGTAGTGTCAGTGGTAATTCATGATGAAACAACAGCTTGATTAATGGCAATTTAAGCAGGTTTTAAAACTAAATTATATGTATATCCTATTGGCTTGTCAGATTCTAGTTATTAAATACATTGATTTCATACTGAGAAAGCTCTTATTTTCCTACAGTTTACCTTTTGAGAAGTGCAGTTGGCATATATTATTTTGACCAGAGTTAGTATATTTCTTATTGTTCACTTTATGCCTGGATCTTTAAAATTTTTTTTGCATGAACTTGTCTGCATGAAGTGTATTTTTCTTATATTAAGAAAACTATTGGTAAAAGTATAATAAAGGCAGAATAGCTCATTGTTTTAATTCAGTTGTATATGTGCATCCCTTCATTTTCTTGTACAAGTTGACAAATAGTATTTCTCAACTGATATGTGAGCTTGTTGCCTAGATTATTTTCTATTTAGTTTAGGTCTTGCTGTATCAGGCAGGATTTCCAGGAGACGGTTTGCCATTGTTTTTTTCTCCTCCAAATGTAGAAGTTCAAAAAAATCTCTCCATGATTATAATCTATGGTTGACTCCTCATATTGGGGGGCAATGTGGGCTGATGAGCAGAGGTAAAGAATAGAAAAACCTGGTTAGATACAGTTCTGGAGAGTAGAAAATTAAAGAAGGAAGAAAAGGTGAGGGGAGAAGTAATTTACATGGAATTATTTCAGAAAAATAAATATTCTATGTTTCAGATTTAGATCAATGTGATCTTTAAGGGATATGAGAGAATGCCCCGTTTTGTTATTCTAGAGTGGTAATGTTCCAGATAATTCACATCACCAAGAAGGAATGAGTTTCATTTCATATTTCAGAGAAATATCTGGTTTACTCATTTTTACTATTAAGAATAAGTCTCACATCTTACTGTTAAGGAAAAAATGGGTCATAGACACATAGTACCTCCCTCCCTGTAGTATTTTTGCAATTTCCTGTGAGTCTATAGTCATTTCAAAATGAAAAGTTTAAAAAGAATAAGTCTCACAAATGTGAGGGGAAAATATTAATGCAATCCTAACATAATGCAATACTGTAGTCCCTGGTTAGGTAAAATATATGAGCAGATGTTCAATCTCCCTGGTCAGTAAATATGCAGATTGATTATTTTTTTAAAGATTTATTTATTTATTTGAGAGAGAGAGTGAGTGAGTCAGGGGAGGGGCAGAGAGAGAGGAACAAACAGACTCCCTGCTGAGGGCAGAGCCTACAAGGGGCTCTATCCCACAACCCAGAGATCAGGACCTGAGCCAAAATCATGAGTCTGACCCTTAACTGACAGCCATCAGGTGCCCCACAGATTGATTATTGAAATAGCTTTCTGTCTTGTCTCTCTACCTTCACACTTGCCACTCTATGATGTGTTTTCAACATGGCAGTCACAGTGTGATCCTCTTAGACTATAACTCAGACTATGCTATTTCTCTTCTCAAAACCTTTCATTTCATTCTGAATCAAAGCCAAAACCTCTTCTCAGAAACACACACCCTACACCGTCCCCACCCACTTGCACCCCAGCTTTATTTTCTCTGGTGCCTTGTTCACTCAACCCACTCCAACCACACAAGCCTTCTTGCTGTCTTTTCCTGCCTCAGGGACTTTTTTTTTTTTAATTCTTATGTTAATCCCCATACATTACATCATTAGTTCTAGATGAAGTGTTCCATGATTCATTGTTTGTGCATAACACCCAGTGCTCCATGCAGAACGT